AAAAACGTATTCGCAATAGAACGTGATCGTTCAAATGGATTCTACAATATGGTTTACAATTTGCGAATAATGGAAATTAACTTGAATATTTAAAATAATTATTCAAAGATTGAATTAACTGACAAATTGCGAATAGTCGTGAAATTTCTGACGGCCTCATATTCTTACACAAAACAGGATTATTCATAGAGATTTGGTAGGTATTAATTTTGAGCAAGGATTTACGCTGCCAGGATAAATTACGAATTTTGAATTATATTTCTAAGCCCAACATTATCATATAATGGTAGTGGATAATAAATAAACTTTCGATATAGCGAATATTTTAAAAAAACTTTTATTAATTGAACCGAACACTTCATTAAACGAGAGTGACATGTATATGGTATAATTTTTGTAATGCCTATAAGTTATAGAAAAAATTTAGATTGAATTGGCTTCATAAAAAGACGTGCATTTTTTCATCTCTAGTAAAACTTTATTATTATTTAAATTTTTTTAAATTATATACAACTTTTATATTGAGTTCTTTTTTTAATAAAAAATTAGTATGAAAATGATCATATCAGTATATCAAACAAAATGTAACGTAAATAACCGTAAAAAAAAAAATCTGTAATTAGTGAAAAGGTAGTGTATATTTGTCAGGGTAAAACTCAAATATCAATGATATAGTATTTTAAATATCGGCTAGATTTTGAACTGTCAAGATCTTATAGGCATTTAAACATTACAGATAAAAAGACGAATTATTCTTTTTATCGGAATATTGCAAAATCCAAAAGTTTAGTAGATATTCCAGATTTTTGTCGTGTTATGGTTTACGTTTTTAATAGTGTTAATTAAAAACCTTGATCTAAATCTATCGCTTAAGTACGTACGTACATCACTTACGCATTATATCTCTAATGACATAAAGTATATTTGATATTACACAAGAAAGTATGACACAATAGATATACAAAAAAGAAACGGCATTTTGTAATGATCAGTAAATTATTATTTAAAAATCGATCAGCTGATTTTGAAAAAATGGCTTTTTTCATTATTGATCAGGATCACCATTTCGAACCAATTAATTTAATCCCAGCCTTCTCCCTCATTAACATTTTCTGCTGGATTAGCAGTAGCAATCATGACAACAGAAGGATTAACACCACCAGGAGCTGTTGTGCCAGATACGTCCCAATTAGTAGTATCCATAAATAGAGGAACACCTTTGTCTGCCAATACGGTAGTAGTCTCTACTTCTTTCTCGGTTTCCTCCGGATCACGGTAGAAGAACATATCAACCACAACATCCCATGGAGAGTCTCTTGCAATGGTACCTCGAAGACGAAGCACTTCACGAGCCAACAACCAATAGATTAAACCAATTGAGTGCTTGGCCTTG